TGTGTGTGTGTGTGTGTGTGTGTCTACGTGTGTGTGCGCGAGTGTATTGTGTTACAGGAGAGTATGTGTTACAGTCATGCCTAACCACTTTTCTCCATTCTCAAATTCCACAGCACTTTCAACTTTCATATCGACCTCTCGTCCATACTCAAGACTCACTTAAAGACCCACAGACACTGATAAACAACGCTCCACGATCCTTTTCTTTTAAGCATGCCAACATAATCCTCCTAGCGTTGACTTGGCTTGGATTATTTCATTCCCCGTATCCGAATGACTTTCATCATTCTGGTGTACAGAAGTAAGGATAGATAGATAGATAGATAGATAGATAGATAGATAGATAGATAGATAGATAGATAGATAGATAGATAGATAGAATAGAGAAAATAACGTTTGGTGTTTTTATGCCCCCATTGACACAATATAGATCATTTGGGAGGCAGTCTTCCGAACTGACTTTCAGGCCCAACCCGGTTTGAGAGGGATATATCATTCCAACAGAAAGACCGACATACCGATAAAACTTCTTCTCATTTGAGAGTCGAACTCAGGTTTTTCTTAGTGCGACAGCAAAGCGCCTGGCCACTTCACAAGAGACGCTGGTTAAATTAAAGACAAGGCTCGATAAACGTAAAGAGAAAGAGAATTCGAAGAGTGGACAAGCCCAAAAAAATAAGATAATAATATTAGCGTGATCTGTAAAAGAGTAAAAAAAAAAATTATGCATTCAGCAAAATATAAAGCACTAATTTCTTCTCTTTATTTTTGTTCTCCTTACAACGATCCATGACCCGATCGGCAAGACTCTTATTTTATTTATTTACAGATAGAACTTACAAACAGGTAGATAGATAGATAGATAGATAGATAGATAGATAGATAGATAGATAGATAGATAGATAGATAGATAGATAGATAGATAGATAGATAAGATAAAATAAAACAAACATCTACTTACCTGGTCTTGAAAATAAACACGAGTGATAAGTCACAGTGTAGCCAATGTCCTCAAACCAAAATAGGCAAGATCTATAGATCTAGATTGTAGTGTACCTCTGTTGTAGTTTTCTTGTCGTCTCCACACAACTTAACCCTTTCTAAGCCAAGGCCTATCACCACACCGGCCTCTCTGGACACATGGTTGGACTCCTCAGCTGTGAACACAGGTTGCAGGATTTCGATATCTATGTGGGGGAGCTCAGTTTTTTTTGGTGCTTTTGTTTTCTTTTGATTTCTCTTGTGTTTGTTTTCTTTTCTTGATTATTGATTATTTCAGGGTTTTTTGGGATAACACGTCTCACCCTGATTTGGCCTTAAAAGTCAATTCGAAGCAGTCTTTCTCTTGAAGTATAATATATTCCAATGGTATCATTTGTTGGCTGAAAGCACATTTACAATAGCTTGAACTATATGGTTTATAAGGCGTAAAGAAAGGCGATGGCATATCGGCGACTGGAAGTGAAAGAGTTAGGAGGCTGAAATTTGACACCCTGCTCAGCGAAGAGGCGGGGATTTAAAGCCAGTTCTTATCTTTGTGGCCACCTTTGTATTAGGACATGACTTGAGATTATTCAAAACTGGGATTTATCTGGTCGAGAAACAATACCTCAGGTAGAGGCTTGGGGAATTATTTGTACCAATGAGTTCAGCATGCTCTTGTAATTGTTCCTTTGTATGGGCACGCAAAAGAAGATAGCCAAGTGGAACAATGAAGGACAAGAGAGGACCAAGAAGAATTTCATCTTTCTGCAGTAAAATGTACTGAGGCCAAAACTGTGATTTTTTATTTTATTTTAATTTATTTTACTGTATTCTCCTGTCAACAATTTGCTTTCTGGGCCTAGGGCGTTTTTACAGCTTGCCGGGGTCTGTCAAGTTTCCTCTCAAGTTTTCTCCTTTCACCTCCTTTCTTGGTCTCTAACCATGCTCTGTCGTCTGCTTTTGTCTCCACTTTCTGCCGACACCCCCACCCTCATTTACCCCCTCCCCCTGACTCCTGAGTTTTTCTGCAGCCTTTCTACAACTACCCATTGGCTCCTTCTTGCCTTTCAGACACACCTCTGATCTTATGGTATGTTAGATCTAACACCCAGCCTTGTTGGAAGAGGGCAAGAAAACCCCGTGTGCAAGTTGCGCAAGTCAAAGATCCTTTGGCGGTTCTAAAATCGATAAGAGTGGGCTTAGGCCGCTACCTGGGAAAAACTTCAAAATTCCTACTAAACTGAAAATGTTTTATGTGTCCAACGCATTCAAGTGACCTTATTATGCAGTTGCGAGCGCCGTTAAACACTTACCAAAAAAGTTGTAAAAATATCCACCAAAAAAAAATGATAACCGCTGGCCGTCCATTTAGAAATAGAACGTCAAAGATTAGAGCGCCCCACACACATCACAGTCGATACTTCTGGAGTGCAGTAGGTAACGGTTAACTAATGTTTCCGAACAGGTCAAGTTCAGAGCTGTTTCTTTGTTCTAACGAGAGACAATAGATTACATGGGAGAACACTATAGCTTTTCTTTTGCTCATCACCATTAGATACATTTATCTATGTGAAAAACTTAGAGCTATCAGGCTCTTCATCACAGTTAGTGAGTGTGGACTTTTTCAACAGAGATATAGAATGAAAAACAAAGATGGGAAATAGAACAGACAGGGAGAGAGAGAGAGAGAGAGAGAGAGAGAGAGAGAGAGAGAGAAAGACAAAGATGGAGAGGTGGGGCAAGAGTAAGAGAGAGAAAGGGGGTGGGGGTTAGTGTTAAGATTACAGGGCTTTTCTGTAGCTTTTTCCTCTCACTTTAAAGTGTGCCATTAATCCCATGTTCCATCAGGTAGTTTACATAATCTTTTCCACTATAAATACACTTGCTCAAGTTCAATATCCAAGGTCCTATGGGTGTTACTGGTTTTTCATAATAAAAAAAAACAACTTGAAATACACAACACGCTCGAGCAGTGGCGTTGCTACAATAGGGCCAAGTGCGCTTCCCACCCCCACGCTTTTATACTTAAGTGTTTTATTTACTTACTTTACTTTTTCTTCCCTTGTTGTTGTTAAGCGCTTAGGGGAGATGCAGTTTTCTATGGTAGGCCAGCTCCGCAGGTCTTTCAAAGTGTTTTACATTGTACCGTAATAAATGAATTGCGGTTCGTAGTTTCGCTAAAACCTTTCAAAAGGATCCTCTTTGACGTTGCAAAGCTGTTTAAGAAAACTTAAGGTATCTGACCTGCACTTGGGGTAAGGGAGATAACTTGAAATCTCCGAAGAACCCTCATGTTCTGGTTTCTAGCGGAACTTCAATAATGATAAAAAGCGTGTCCGCATTGTGTATCTTTAGATGGTTCCCATGACCAACTGGTCGTGCATCTTCTCTCTCTCTCTCTCTCTCTCTCTCTCTCTCTCTCTCTCTCTCTCTCTCTCTCTCTCTATATATATATATATATATATATATATATATATATATATATATATATATATATATATATATATATCCCTCTATCTCTCTTTCTCTCTCTCGCTTTCATTTTCTCTCTTTCTCTCTAGTCTCTCTCTCTCTCTCTCTCTCTCTCTCTCTCTCTCTCTCTCTCTCTCTCTCTCTTTCTCTCTCTCTTGACGGTTCTGCCATGACCGTTTGGCCCCAACTGTGTCTTTGAGGGATTAGACTGCCATAGCATGTTCACTTTCGTCTAACCGGGGTTAAAACAAGATTTAAAAAAAATTATTTTGGGACTTTGCATGAGGGTCTAAAGGTTGAAAGGCCAATCGAATCTAGAAGCCGATTGATGAAGGTCACTGGAAACGAATCTTCTTCAGTCTAAACCTAGAGCAGGTAAACAAAATGGGAGATTTACACAACCCACTCAAAGTATAGAAAAATGACCCTTTTTTGAACAGCGCACACTTTTACGGGCGTCATCAAATTACGTTCCAACAGACGGATCAGACTCACTTGAGGATATCTAGACCATTTAGGGAGGAACAAATTTACAAACTTAGACTAACATGTGGGGGCAGTGTGGTGTATCTGTCTGCAAAACGGACAATTTGCAGGCAGAGGATAAATATTTATTGTAGTGATCCGGTGCATGCACCTAAAGGGCTGTGTTTAATTTAAAAATGACTGGATAAACATTTTAAAACAAAATATTTCTGTATGATTTCTGACCTTCAGAAGTGCCATGCACAGTTTCGTGTTCATTCATGATAAATTAATAGATAAGGTGGGTTTTCCCCCGCTGACATAAGAAAGGAAACAAGTTTGAATTAATTTCACTTTGACACCACTTTAACAGAAACATAATATTATAGCTCTAGCGAAAAATTTTCCGTGTCCAAATTTTCTATATCTTTAAGGTTTCGATTTTTAAAAGCTATTTCATATACGTGTCTTGACGACGACGCCACCCCTTTTCAGGCCCACTCCACGCCTCTGCAAAATATGAGAGTGTGTCTTTAGGAGCTTTTAAAAAGATAGCATTTCTTCGCAAAAAGATCACGTGCCGATAAATGTCGAAAGATAACGCGACGATAAACCGGTAATAATAATGTGTTGTGAATATGCCTGACTCATCAGTTTTGTTTTCCAGTTTATCAAGCCGGTTTTTGGTGACCATGGAAAAGTAATAACACGTCCTACTCACCCTCTTCCAATTTTAATACTCTCTCTCAATCTCTCTCTCTCTCTCTCTCTCTCTCTCTCTCTCTCTCTCTCTCTCTTTCTCTCTCTCTCTTTCTCTCTCTCTCTCTCTCTCTCTCTCTCTCTCTCTCTCTGTACCTGTCTCTCTTATTCTTTCTGAACCTTGTTCTATCTGTCTCTCTATCCATCTTTTTTTCGCTTTCTCTCTCAGTCTGTCTGTATTTTCCCTTCTCTGTCTCCCCCCCCCCCCCCCGCTCTCTTTCTCTCTCGATTAAGCTCTTTCTCTCTCTTTTTTTATTTTACTCCTTTTTTTCTTCCTCTATGTCTCTGTCGTTATAACTTCAAAAAAGATACAAATGAAAAACAAACAAAAACAAATATACATCAAAACTGCCTTTGTATAGAATTCCTCAAAGAGACATAATCTCCGAAGCAACACTAATCTCAGTTTCGATTGGAACAAACCACCGGCGTTTATAGAAGTGGCGGTTAGGCGAGTAGCTATTGCACGCAGGGGAACCGTGTTCGATTCCTGAATGGAGGAAAAATTTTATCGAGTATCTCGGTCTTTGGGGGCTCCAGTGGCTAAGTGAGTAGTGAGTTTTGACTCAAGCAATGTCAAGCAAGTGTTTGTGACACGGGGATCAGATGGGTGGTCACTGGAGTGTGTCCTTGAGCAAGACACGACAACCCTAGCTCAAATTATAGGGCGCTGCACAGTGGCGACCGACAGTGGCATTGTTTGTAAACTGTTCTGTATTTGTGTAATAGTGTGTATTTATGTATGTATTTATGCATGTATGTATTTATGTATGTACGTATTTATAATTATGTATTTATGTATGTATGTTTGCCATTGTAAAACAAAGTGCTCTTCTGGGACAAATAAAAGTGTAATAATTCATTTTAAAAAATTGTTTTTCTGCAGGGATGTTTTATCTCTCTCATCCAGGACTTGCTCCTCAAAGACATGGTCGGGAGACTCCCACCAAAATGATCTACACTGTGTCGATAGGGGCGTAAAACACCTACATTTTATAACTAACCAGACTAAGCAAAGGATAAAACTTTGTAACTCCAGTCATGGATTGAAATCAGTGTGGTCCACAACGCTGTTCAGAACGGTGCCATATGTGAACGCACTGCACCCTGGTTCATATGTTCACGTGATACTTTTAGAGATACCAAAATGACAACTGTGTGGACAAATGAAACTGTTCAGATTTTACTCCATATTGACTAACTTGTTTCTGTTTTGCTGGTTGGGAGGTCTGGCTGTTTGTTGGATTGTTTGTCTATGTGTTTGCTAGCTTGTTTGTTTAATTTTACGTTTGTATGCCCCTCCCCCCCCCCCTTTTATGGGGTTTGGGCGGGGGTAGTATGAGGGAAAAAAAGAGGGGGGGTGGTAATCGGGTAGTCTGTGCGGTGTTGAATAAGGAAGTTTGACAACTTATGATTCGGTTT